CGTCGCAACAGCTCAAAATCGCCACTCGAACTCAAATACTTCTTCGCATGTGTGCGCGCCTCGACCAACTTCATCTCGCCGCCCCCACCCCCAATGCTAACCCCATGCATGCCATCCTCCATCTCCAAGCCATCCATGCCACTGACACCCGCCTCATGCCCCTGCCTCACAAGCTCAATATACTGCTGCAAGCGAAGTTCAAACTCCAACATATTCGCCCCCTTCTTCAGCTCCTTGCCATGTTCCTTGCACCACTCGAGCGCCAGACTCGTCGTCATGCCCTCCTTCAGACTCCGCTCAATTTTGTGGCATGCGATAAAGGGCTCGACGTCGACGAGCTCGGTGATGCCTTTGCTCTGCGCCAGGTGCGTTGCCGACTCGGTGTAGCCTTCGCGGAGCAAGCAGTCTACCAGTAAGCGGGAGAGCCGGGTGCGACTCCACTCGTCGTAGCGCACGTCGACTAGACTTTGTATCTCGTAGAGGTCTTGGAGGTGTTTGAGGCGTGCCTTGGCTGCGCGATGGATCTTTTGTTCCTCGTCGTGGAGGACTTCGAGTTTGCGCTTGACTCCTCCCCTTTTGCTTATCACCGAGTCGAGGGCGTTCGAGCGTCGTATCGGGTCTTGCGCGGGCTCCAAAAACACATACCTAACCACCACATCCCCCTCCTCCTTCATCACATGTATCCCCTCCACCACCACATTCCCCTTACCTACAACTTCACACCCCAACAACAGCCGCATCCCACCAACCCCACTATTCCGCCACCCCACATGCGGCGGCGCAGCCGTATACGAAAATGCCAGATCAGGCTCCTCTGCCAGATAGATGCCGTGGCCGTGAGCGGCGCCGACACGCTGGAGTGCGGTGCCGGAGCAGTTTTTGAGGCCGTGGGCGAGGATGCCAGGGAGGCGGTCGAGCGAGGTGCCGTGGAAGAGGATGGTAGTCTTTGGATCTTTGGGCGGAAGTTTCGCGGTGAATGCGGTTTCGGCGTGAGGGTGCGTGCTGCTGAGGATGAATTGCACGGTGTCCAGGGGCAAATTGGGGATCTTGGTGGTGCTGGTAGCAAGGGCCAGGATACCTGGGGTGAGACTGTGAGACCAGGAGAGGAGGCGTTCGGCTTGGATATTGTAGCTAGGGAGCAAGAAGGAGAGGTTTACGCTGGGTTTCACGACTTTCAGGGCAGGTAGGAGATTTGCGATTTTCTTGACGTCGATCCAGGCCATTTTGGCGCCGGGGAGGAGTTCTGGCCGAGAGGTTAGGGCGGCGGCGTACAGGCCTGCGAGAAGCACGTCGGTGGCAAGCGGGTTGGTTTTGATGTCTGGGATTCGTAGGTCGATTGGCAAGCTATTCCATGTGTCCTGGCACGCTTTCTGATCGCAGGGTCCCGGGCGGAGAAGTTGGATGCCGCGAGAGGTCTGTAAGCGTCCGCAGGATACGCAGGCTTGTCGCATATTTTCAAGCCTCGCCTTGACAGTGCCGTGCAACTCTGCTATCCCCACGCGTCCGGCTTGAAGCTGTGTGTGGACGAGGCGCTTGAGGTGCCATAGAAAGAGGTTGGGAGCTGGTTGCCTTTTGATATCCACAGTTGACATGGTGCAGTCCAAGCGTAGGCTATATTGTTGAGGCTCTCGTCCTTTGTAATCGGTTTCAAGAAAGAGGAAGACCGTGGTAGCTTCCTTTGGCACACCCATTACAGTGCGGTGGAGTGGAGACAAGACGGCCAGCGAGAAACTGATCTCCACTGTATTGTCGCCGAGTTTCTCAACCGCGTCGATGGCGTCCAGGGGTAGATTTCTGAGTTCTTCATCAAGCGGGTCGTGGTCGGGAATCTTGTGTTCCTCGAGAAAGCGCAGTGTGCCCTGTGGATCTACTTGCTTGAGCTGCTTAATCAGGCTATCTAGGCGTTCGGCCTCTTGCAAGATTTCCGCCTCGATTGGGGCCCAAAAGGCAATTGCTTCGTCCAGCTTTGCGGCTGGTATGTCGGTCTTGTAGATTTCAAGGTCAAATAGGAGGGCGATGGATTCGATGGCCATTTTGACGTTGGGTCGTATGTTGTCATCTTGGAGATAGCCCGCAATAATAACCTCTCGAACAGCGGAAGAAAGATCTTTCTTGCGTGTGTGAGCAGCCACGACTGCGCTTTTCTCTGGCCTTGCTCGAGCAGAACACTCGGTCCCTTCTGGAATCTCTGAATTTCCACTGCACACTGACCAGATCTTCTTGAACAACTCTTGCTCCTGGGGCGTCGCTTGCTTGACTATACAAACGCAATTCTTGACTACCTCGACATTCTTCGAAGCAGCCGAGAGCTTCTCCACAGCAAGATACATGATTGACTCCCTCAAATCTCCCTGTACCTCTTCAAGACACTCAAGTATGCTGACGAAGAGCTCAGATGAAGCTCCTCCTCCTCCTCCTCCTCCTCCTCCACGGGATAATATGCACTGTACACTCGCATCCACCCTACCACCAGACAACCGCTCCTCGAGCTTCGTCAGCGTATCCACGAACCTCGATGCCCGTGACTTCCACGCAAGTAAATCCGGTTGGAGGATAGCAGGCACCTCGCAGCTTGTGTCTTCCAAATAGCCATTGAACAGCGTCTCAAGCGTTCGCATAAACGCCAGCCACTCGGCCGCCCGCATACTTTGCAAAGTATAGTCTAGGAACCCAGAGCCTTTAGCTAGGCCGGGCTTGCCATCGCGAGCAATCCATGTGAGCAGGAGCGTCTTCCAGCATTTTGTCCAGGCCTGTCTATCGGTTAGGAGTCTGGTCATGGCGATGGTAGCGGGCGCAGGCTCAGTCTCGTATTGTTGCATTATCGCAAGGAGATGCTTGATGAAAGAGTGGGGGCGTAGAAGTCTGTTCCCTGTGGCTATCTCTTTCAGACATTCATTGCGTAAGGTGGCGCCAGCGTCAATCAGCTTTGACACTAGTATGGCTAAGGATCGCCTGTCGCTATCAATGGTATTGCCCACCGTGCTCTTCCAGATGTGAAGGAGGGTTTCGATTGTATCTTGTGTTTCAGGGGCTATTTTGCCTGAATCAAGACACCGGGATATGTAGAATTCCTCAATAATCTTTTCCAGCGGATGCCGCATACTCTGTTGGAGTTGTTGTGTTGCATTTACCTTCGAATCCGATGTCTTGGGCTTGGCGGCGATTGCTCCTGTCTTGAGACTGACGGTAGAGTTCTTAGATGCTTGCTTCTGCGAGACTTCCAGAATTTCTCGAATCATATCCATCTGCTCTGTCGATAGCCATGATCGAAGTAATGCTTTGGTAACGACCGACACAAACGGGAAGACGTGACGAGACTCTCTAACATCTATGCAAAAGGTATGCAGCTCCAATGCCAGGGGCATCCAATCTAAGCCCTTTTCAATATGTTCTTTTACTGCATCTCGGCAGCTCCATATACACTTCTTGATTCCCCGCGAGAGCCAGGGATGGATCATCGCGGTGAGCAGGTCGTTTGCACTGGGCTTGTCAAACGTATGAATAAGTTGGTGTAGGGATGCAATGTGCTCGCCATCGAGGCAGTCTCGATGCGTGTATACGTCTCGGATCGATGTGTAAATGTCTTCGCTGTGAGGATTATGGATTGCCCCGACAGCCTCGAAGAGGGTCAAGCCTTCGTCTGTGATGGGTTGGGCGATGACAAGCTGTCTGAAAAGATGTAATACGCTTGATCCTGCGCTTCGAAGCTCGTGCATTTTGTCTATGCCCGCTGTGACTCTGAGGAGGATTGCTCGTAAGGATTGATACACTGTACCTTTAGAATCGTCGATAGACGGTGGCGACCCCGAG